ATTAAGCACAATGGGAATGCTTGTTTGAATGCATTAGAGATAAGACCGATATCGGTTGATGAAATTAAGGAAGCTCAGGGTAAGGACTTGCAATTGAAAAGAACAAAGAATGAGGTACGAAGTGGAAAATTCCCAGGTATTGTGATCCAAGAGGATGGAACGTTAAGGTTCAAGGTAGATTATGTGTTCCTAGTGAAGAAATGTTGAAAAAGAGGATTTTAGAGGAAGCTCATAATTCACCATACTCGATTCACCCTAGAGGAAATAAAATGTACAAGGATTTGAAACAAATGTACTGGTGGAGTAACATGACGCAAGAAGTGGCAGAATTTGTGGCTAAATGTTTAACATGTCAGAGAATCAACATAGATCATCAAAGATACTAGAATGGAAATAGGACTCAATATCATTGGATTTTAGGTCTACCAAGGTCCACTAAGGGAATGAATGCTATTTGGGTCATTGTGGATCGATTAACAAAGTTGGCACATTTCTTAGCAATGAAGAGTAATTGGAGTCCGGATCAACTTGCTGAATTATATGTGAACACCATAGTGCGGTTACATGGGGTACCTAGTTTGATTGTTTCTGACTGTGACATAAGATATCAGGCTACTTATTGGAAAGAATTACAGAAGCCGCTTGGAACAAAACTTAACTTGAGCACTTCTTTTCAACCAACAACAGATGGGAAAACTGAACACACTAATCAAATCGTTGAAGATATGTTACGAGCATGTGTCCTGGATTTTCAAGGAACTTGGGAAAAATATTTACCTATGGTGGAATTTTCCTACAACAATAGTTATCAAGCCACCATTGGTATGACCCCATATGAAGCCCTCTATGAGAGGGAATGTCGAACACCATTGTGTTGGAGTGATATTGATGAGGCACGTGTCATAGGACTAGAACTGATTCAAGAGACAACGGACAAAATTCATCTTATCCAATCAAGAATGAAAGCTGCTCAAAGCACACAAAAGAGTTATGCTGTTGGGTTTTACGATGTCCAACACCGCGCGGAAATAAAACCCGCCCAGAGATCCATGCATAAATTAAAGCAACTAAAACTAAAACATGCATATAATTAATTAAGCGATAAACACATAATAATAGATAGAGTGAGAGAAGAAGGATAAGACGATCATACCCTTGATGTTTGTTTTTCACTTAGCACGAACACAAACTCACGAACGGAGCTAGAGCCTCAAATGCGACTCCTCCAACGAGGTCCACCCGCGTGCCCAACCTTTGGTCAATATTACCGACTAGGGTAATATTAACACTACTAACAAGAAGATCTCTTTATAAGGTTATCTCAATGGAGATGCCTTTTATAGAGTTCAACTCTTACAATTTATTCTCAAGGTAAGTCTTGGGTATTTATAGGAGAAGCATCTCCATCCCTTTGATATTTCATCAATGTGGGACTTTTGCAAAGTTGAAAAATAATTACATTTAAGTTACTTTTAAAATAAATGAAAAACAAAGAACAAAAAATCAAACAACAGGTGGCAATCATATGGGAGGGTTATGTGAGGACCACAAGGCCCTCCTTGCTCCCCAAGCCAAAAACCAGACCCCATCATGTGCGGACAACTAGCGCGAGCACTAAGGCAACCTTCGCTGGCAACCCATGTGCTCGGCTGGCCTATTTCCTCGCCCAAGTTGCTGCTACCCCGCAAGCCCACATGCAAGGCGCGCTGCTGCCAAGCACAGTATCTGCTAACTAGGCCAGCACGCTGCGCTAGCTGTTAGCCTTGCTAGCTTGTGCTGGCGCAGCCAGCACCCAGCCAGCCCGCACACGGCCAGCACCCAGCTGCTACGCTGGTGCTTGCTTGCAGCATACACTCGGCCAGCAGGCCTAGTTGGTGCGTGCGTGCACCAAGCTTGGCTTGCGGCCAGTGCTTGCTTTGTGACAGTTATTGCTAACCTAGCCCTCGTATGGCTTGGCCAATACGAGGCTAGGGCTATGCATTTATTCTTGTTTGACTTAAATGTACATCTCGTTAATTCCTATAATTTAACTCGACGTTCGGCTTTGACGCTCTTAGCTCAGAATCCGACGTCAGAATATGTATCCTCTTGTTTGACGTATTAAGGCCTTTGGCTTAATTCGTCGCTTTAGTTTGGTTGCACGCTTGAAGTGTCTTGTTGGGTTCAATCAAAGGAAAGCTATGAGATTAATATAATTAATCTCACTGATCAGAGATTGCCTCTAGCCCAACTTTCCGATCACTTGACTTCACTGAATAATTAACTCCGTAATTGATTCTGAACCCTCTATCGGAATAATACACTTGTTCGAATGACACCATTCCTTTCATATGCAGACCGACGAAGGATGTTGGAGACCATGTATTCTTGAAAATTTCCCCTACAAAAGGAGTTATGAAATTTGGTCAATTAGGTTAGTTAACTCCAAGGTACATTGGACCGTACGAGATCTTGGAAAAGGTAAATAATGTGGCATATCGACTTGCCTTAACCACTGACTTGGCAAAGGTGCATAACGTGTTTCATGTGTCAATGTTACGAAAATATGTCCCTGATCCAAGCCATGTGATTCGACATGAACCCTTATAGTAGCGGAACGATTTGACTTACGAGGAAAAACCAATCAAAATACTTGACCGTAGAGAGAAACAGCTTAGGAACAAAGTAATCCCAATGGTGAAAGTCTTATGGGCCAATCATTTAACATATGAAGCTACATAGGAAGTAGAAGAGCAAATGCAAACAAAATACCCCGAATTGTTTGATTAGCAAGAAACAACGTATGCACTTTTATGTATTATATGCTGCGTTATTGATCTTTCTCTTTTTCTTCTTCTTCTTCTTCTTAAGCAAAAAAATTTTATTGACCAAAATAGCTTTTTACAACCAAAAATCCAAAGAAGAGAAACTAGAGGCCTCACAGCCTCAAAAACACCATATACATCACATCAAGAAACTCTATATAAACCGCAAAAACAATTACAAACTATCTATCCAATCCTTTTGTTGTACACTAATCTTTAAGTTCTTCAAGTCCTGAATTTTGCATTTTAACTCGAACTTCATGATCTTCAACATAGCTGAGATGCAAAAGACCTTTTCCGATAATGCCACATTCCTGACCTTCCAAATATGGTAAACTGCAGCTACTATATATGTGTGAAGAATCCTTCTCAGGAAAACAAAACCAGTTTTCTCTGTTTGCTTGGAAGCTTTATTGAGTTCAATCAAGGCAGGACCTGCACCAATCCAGCTTCTAACCTCTTTCCGGATTTCTCTACTATATTTACACTTGAAAAATAAATGCTCATGGGTCTCATCAGAATCACCACAGAGCAAGCAGTCCTTGTTCAGAATCAGACTAAGCTTATGAAGCCTATCTCTAGTCTTCAGCTTCCCTTGCATTGCCAGCCATGCAATAAACTTGTGTTTAGGGACAACTCTCCTCTCCCATACCAGTTTGTCCCATCTACATTTTTCCTTTTCCTCAGTTAGCAAGTCATAACATTTTCTAATTCTGTAAGTACCCTGCCCAATTGAGGCAGGAGGCATCACACTCTTCATTTTGTCCTTCACCAGGCATATTTGCTTCCAATACCAACTACAGTCAGCTTTTGGTTGGTAATCCAACCAGTTCTTACCTTTCAAATACACGGCATTTATCCATTTGACCCATAAATTGTCTTGCTTTTGTGCTATTGCCCATACATGTTTTCCTAAGGCTGCAGCATTCCAAGCTTCGATGTTTCTAAGTCCCAAGCCTCCAAATTTCTTCTTACAACAGATCTTATTCCAGACAATATAACCTGGCTTATTGCAGACATTCCCATACCACAAAAAATCCCTGCAAATTGCATTAATCTTCTCAAAAACACTCTTGGGCAGGATCATAATCTGAACCCATTACACTTGTATATTCATTAGGACTGAGTTTACCGGTGTAAGCCTGGCTGCAAAAGAAAGGTGTCTACTGCTCCAAATTCTGATTCTAGTGCACATCTTTTCAGTGAGATGTTCACACTCAGCAGATGAGATCCTTTTTGAACATTTTGGAACTCCCAAATACATGAAAGACATCTTCCCCCTAGAGAAACCTATAAATCAAGCACCTCTTTTATCACTGTATCATTCATGCCAGTACAGTAAATGGAGGTTTTCTAGAGAAGGCTTTGAACCCTTTCATAAGCAATTTGATAGACTTCAGTTCCCCTTTGCAGCAAAGAATTAAATCGTTAGCAAAACATAAGTGTGTTAAGCTAACTGATCTACATCTGGGGTGAAACTTGAAACCTTCAACCTCACTTACAACCTTTAGAATTCTAGAGAGGTATTATATGCACAGCACAGAGAGCAAGGGAGAGAGAGGATCTCCCTGCCTTAGCCCCCTTTTGGAGGCAAAAAAACCCATGAAGAGTCTCATTGATTATGAGGGAGAATTTGGGAGTTGTGACACAAACCATGATCAGATCAATAAATTTCTTAGGAAACTGCAGAGCCACCATCATTTCTTTTATAAAGCTCCATTCCACAGTATCATATGCCTTTTTTAGGTCCAATTTTATCAGACAACTAGCAGTAGCATCCCCCCTTCCACACTGCCTCACTAGATCCTGACAGACCATAATATTGTGAATGATAAACCTGCTATGAACAAACGCACTTTGATTTTCAGCAATGACAGCAGGTAGTACCTTCTTGAGTCTCTCACAAAGAACCTTTGAAATGCATTTATATATGACATTACAACATGCTATGGGCCCGAATTCTGTCACACTTCCAGGAGACTTGGTTTTTGGGACCAGAGTTAAAGATGTAGCATTAATTTCTCTTAGCAATTTTTTATGCTCTAAGAAATCAAGCACAGCATCACACACCTCCTCTCCCACTATGCCCCAAGATTCCTTGTAAAAGGAGCTTCCAAACCCATCAGGCCCTGGAGCCTTGTTAATATCAATATTAAACATAGCTTTCCTCACTTCATCCCTAATGAAAGCACATATTTAGCTATCAGCCATGTCTTGAGTCAGAATAGGACCACTTCTAACAACTGCCAGGTCAACTGTTTTCTTGTTTGTAGCTGCAGTACCTAGCAAATTCTCATAGTACTCCAAGAAAGCATCAGGAACCTTAATAGGATCACCGATCCATTCCCTAGATGTATCCTTTATTGAGTATATCCTATTTTGCATCTGTTTCTTCTTTAGAGCTTTATGGAAAAATGCCGTGTTCTAATCCCCCTATAAGATCAAGTCCACTTTTGCTTTTTGCCTTAAGTATGAGAAGTATAACTCTTGAGCTGAGTTATATTCCTCTCTAGCTTCTTTCTCAGCCTCTCTTGCATTCACATCTTGAGGATGAGAGTGCAAACATGTCTGTAGTTTATCCAGCTCATCCTTTGCTTTCCTGAATTTCACCTCAATATTAGCATTCCCATTTTTTCTCATTTTTACTAGGGCAGCTTTCACTCTCTTCAATTTTTGAGAGACTTTGTACATCTTAGTCCCTTGAATATCACTTTTCCAGGTTTCATCAACCAATTCTAGAAAACCAGGGAGCTTACCCACATATTAAAATATCGAAAGGGTTTTTTCATGTTACCAGCCTCAGGATAAATTAAGACAACACCTGGACAGTGATCAAACTCTCACTCATTAAAGAACACCATTTCTAAGTGTTCAAAATGTGAACACCATTGATCATTCACCATCCCTCTATCAATCTTTGAGAATACTCTTGCTGTCCCCTCTTGCTTATTGTTCCATGTGAAAATATTAACACTATACTTGATGTCCTGCAACTCACAATGTTGCATACAAGCTCTGAAATCTTCTATTTCTCTTTCCCTAACAGGAGATCCTATACTTTCCTTTACATCAAGAATATAGTTGAAATCCCCTAGAATAATCCAAGGACCCTCTATCATTGAGTGAATATCCTTTAGATCATTCCAGAGATCCTTCCTTTCTTTCATATTATTAAAACTATAGACAAAAGTGCAGCTGAAACTCTGAGTTCTTTTCTTAGGCCACACTTGACAGTGCATGAGCTGACTAGTGCTCAAGACAATGTTTAAGTCAAAAGCACCAGGCTTCTAGCCAATTGCAATTCTCTCTCTAGGATGAACACTATTATTGCAAGAAAAGCACTACCCATCAAAAACATTAAGGTATAAGTTCCCCAATTTGGAGGACTTTACCTTAGTTTCAAGGAGCCTAACAAGACCACAATTATAGGTTTGAATAACCTTTTTAATCACATTCTGCTTACTGACCTTGTTTGCCCCTCTTACATTCCAAGCCAGGATACTATCCTTGCCGATCAGGGGTTATCACCACCCCCTCAGCATTTGTCACCTGTTCTTCAACTTCCTTCATTTCCTCATGTTCCTCCAGCTCTAAGACTACAAAAGATTTCCTCACCTGAACCTTAGAAACCTCTTGGGGGGACCATTTCACACATTTCTCACTTCTCTGAAATTTCTCATCAACTATCCTTGTGTTAACAGCCTTCTCAGAGATAGCACTAACTTTTCCTGCTTCTGGGGCTGCAGAAACTTGAGCATTAATAGCCTTAGGTACCCATTTTTTAGTATTCTGCACCCATCTCTTTTTCCCTTTCTTCCTACATTGAGCTTCATTATGTCCCATTAGCTTACAACTAGAACATAATTCAGGCTTCTAGTCATACTTCAGTTGTACAGTAGTTTGTATCCCTTTCTCATTCATGAAAGTTATATCAGCAAGGAAGTCCTGAGATATCCCCACATCCACTAGTACTTTCGCAAACTGAAGTTTCTCTCTATTTCAAGTAGCTTGATCAACTTTCAGAAAATTACCCAGGCTACTAACAATCTTGCTCTGAGATTTCTCCCCCCAATATTTCAAATCCAAACCCCATAATTTTACCCACATTGGAAAAATCTTGAAGTCTTCTTAGTGATTTTCATATCAGGTTCCCATTGTTTCAAAAAATGGGTCTATTGTCAAAAAACACCCTGCCCCCTTTTAAAACCTTGTCTCTGTTTTCCATGGTGTGGAAACACACCAGGAAGATACCCTTCTCCATTAAAGACACTTTATCTACTCCCAAAGATTTCCAAACTCGCCTGAAAAAACCCTCAATTACAGGTAAAGTTGGGTTTTCCCCCAACAACGTAGCATATAATCGCTGAGTTCCAGTAATAAATTTCATCTTGAATATCATCAAGATCAATTTGAACGCAATCATTCACAGCATTATTATTCACATGCATATCATCAGTATTCATATCATCATTCAATTTATTCCTATCGTCCTCCAAATTCCTACTTGCATGCTGAACAGAAATTGGGGACAAAACAGAGGTATTAAGATCATGGGTACCTGGGTTTGTCTTCGATCCCGATTTCATCGCACTCATCTAATCAGAAAAGTTCCTTCTAACTTCATATTGTTGTTGTAGATCCTTCAAAGAAGCTTTTGGAGACAGAATTTGCTCCTCCAGAAAGCTTTGAACATCTGGGTCTTCCATCTCTTCCCCCAAATTCCTCATAATTTCCTTCGATTTCTTGCTTTTCTTCGATTTCTGTGTAGCCTTCTGCTTTTTCTCAATTTTCAAGGAAGATTGAGCTCGAGTGCCCACTGCCATGGCGCCGAGCAGTTGCTCGAGGACACGCGCACTCTTTCTCTCTATAAGAGCTTTTCTTCTCCTTTTTTTTCTTTTCTTTTCTTGCACATTTTATTTATGCAAGGTTGCTGTGTTATTGTTATAGCAATATAAGGAGAATTGAATAATTAGATGTGACATGTGTGTTTTAATGATGATAATTGTTCCCGGTTCAACTGAGCTTAGTTTTGAGGATGAAACTTTTTCTAAGAGGGTACGGTAAGGATGTAATACCCGATATTTTAAAACTCGATTTATCATATTCTAATTAAAATATTACTTTCTACGTTCTCGTAATATTGTAACAACTGGACTTTTGCACTATTAATTATGCTTGTTTGACAACAAATTATGATTTATACGTAAAGTAAAAAATAGTCATTTGTGGTCTTGTTAGATTCGCCTTGTAAAATACTTTCACAGTATCAACTTTTTATAATTTTTACTCTTATATAATTATAGATATTTAACATATAAAATGTGCTTTGAGATGCGTAATTTCATCCTTGTTGCAATATTTGTGGAACAGAGGAAGTATAAGCTTAATTAAATTTTAATCTCTATTTTACCAAGTATAATTGTTTTAGTCTTAATACGAGTATTATTTTAACAACGTATTATATTCGAAAGCTGATTTTACGAGGGAAAGTAATTTATTTTTAAAATTTATTTGGGTCAAATAATAATTTTTTATTTTGTCAAATGTTTAAAGATTAACACCATGATAAATAATAGTGAAAGACCTAATCCGTCTGGCAGTATATGTTTATAGGTTACTATTCGGTCATGCATCTACCCATGGGGCATTAGCCCAATTATGCCGATCATCAGCTCTATGTTATGGGCACTGGCCCATTGAGGAAGATATTCTACCATGTCATACTTGCCAGCGACTAGCATGTTAATTAAAAAGGTTATGAATATATGAATTTTATTAAATGTTTTACGATATTCTACTCTCCCCGTTTTGTTAACTAAAATGATTGGACATGATGCTATACTTCTAAAGTAGTACGTTACTGAGTCTTCGGCTCACCGTTTTTATGTTTTAGGTACTGCTGGGGATGATGGAGACGAGTAGTAGCGAGTATTTTACAATTTTAAGTTGTTTAATTTGAATAGTAAGACTAAGCTACTCTAGTAAGTTTATGTTTTGATAGGATCTGCTATTAAAGAGCTAAGAGTAATGTTTGTAATAAATAGATTTCTATGTTTTATAAATAAATTTTGTTAATTAAGTATGATTGTTGCCTTGTAACTTTTGAGTGGGAGTTACGACAGTGACATCTCAACCAAATTAGGTTAGTTCCGCTGCTATGTTTCCCTTAATAACTGAATTAGAGGTCGGGGCATTACAGTCTGATCTGAGTCTGAGTCTGTTTTAGAGCTTTTAGGATCTAAGGCTAAACCCCTATGTGCTTTTAAGTCTTTTTTTGTAGTTCCTCCTAGAGTTGAGCCTCTTGTCGAGTCTCTCCCTTCTATCCCCAATAATTCTCGTGAGGTCGCAGCTGACCTCGCCTTCTTTGATGTAATGATTAATGGGTTCAATAATATGAGTACCTTTTCTTACGATGCGTGTCATTCCCCTAACCCTTATCAATATTGCTTTACTAATGATAAAAATGACAAAGAGATAATAAATGCAATGGCAGATCACGATAATGATATTGCAGTAATTAAAGATACATAAACATTTTATATTTTCAATTATACCACCCTTAAAGAGGTTTAAATTGGATTAACACTAAGTCTTGAAGAACACAAAGAACTTAATAACTTGCTTAATGAATTTGTTGATGTATTTTCTTTGTCATATCAAGATATTCCAGGTATTGACAGGGACATAGCTCAACATACGATGCCACTCATTCTAAGTATGAAGCCCGTCAAGGAAAAGATGCGTTGATGATACCTGATGTGGCTCTTAAAATCAAAGATGAAATCAAGAAGCAGCTAGCCGCTGGGTTCATCAAGGTGTCCAAATATCTAGAATGGATCGCAAATGTGGTTCCAGTTCCTAAGAAAGACAGAAGAGTCAGAATGTGTGTTGATTACAAGGACCTCAACAAAGCAAGTCTAAAATAAAGATGGGTTCCCTCTACCTCACATCGACATTCTAATTGACAACACAGCAAGACATGTACTCTTCTCCTTCATGGATGGGTATGCTGGATACAATCAACTATTGATGGCCGAGGAAAACATGGAAAAGACCACATTCATCACGCAGTGGGGTACATATTGCTATACAGTAATGCCATTCGGGTTGAAAAACGCGGGTGCCACCTACCAAAGAGCAGCAATAACATTGTTACATGACATGATGCACAAAGAAGTAAAGGTCTACGTCGATGATATGATTGTCAAGTCTAAAGATCGACTAGGCCACATCATTGCCCTTTGCAAGTTCTTTGAACGACTTTGCAAATACAACATGAGATTGAACCCAGCAAAGTGTGCATTTGAAGTTACGTCAGGCAAGTTCCTTGGTTATGTGATCAGTTCTCGAGGAATTGAGATAGATCCCACAAAATTAATCATTACATCAATGTCCATTATCCAAACTCACTGCCACTATTTAAGACTGAGAAGGAGATTCGAGGTTTCATTGGAAGATTGCAATACATAAGTAGGTTCATATCCAAACTCACTGCCGTGTGTGAACCTATATTCAAGAAGCTCAAGAAAAATGTCCTAGTCACATGGGATGATAAATGCCAAAAAGCTTTCGACAAGATCAAGACATACTTGGCGGATCCACCTGTGCTAGCACCCGCAATCCTAACATTCCTCTTCGACTCTACTTTACGGTCATAAGAGAAATGGTGGGGGCAATGCTAGCACAAGAAATCAAATGCAAAGAAAATGCAATCTATTATTTAAGTAGGAAGCTTTAAGGCTACGAGGTCCGATATACACCACTAAAAAAGTTGTGTCTCGCACTTGTGTGGGCTGCAAAGAAATTAAGACATTATATGCTCACTCATACAGTGCATGTCGTGTCAAAGATTGATCCTCTCATGTATTTGTTTGAGAAAGCCACTATCAACGGAAGACTATCAAGGTGGATAGTCAACCTTGATGAGTTTGACTTAAAGTTCGTACCACAAAAAGCCATCAAAGTGTAGACACCTGATTGTGTCTCCCCAAAAACCAAACTCAATGATGAGTACCTTTCATGTTTTGATTGATGAGTTTGATAAAGATTTGAAGATTCTCGCGATTTTTTATTAAACCTTGACCATATTTCTAACCTTACCTAAAATGTTTTAATCCAAAATAATTCATTTCATGTCTTTAAATCCAAAATCATTCATTTCGTGTCC